TTTATCCATTCATCAGTTGATGGACATTTAGGCTCTTTCCACAATTTGGCTATTGTTGAGAGTGCTGCTATAAACATTGGGGTACAAGTGCCTCTATGCATCAGTACTCCTGTATCCCTTGGGTAAATTCCTAGCAGTGCTATTGCTGGGTCATAGGGTAGGTCTATTTTTAATTTTCTGAAGAACCTCCACACTGCTTTCCAGAGCGGCTGCACCAATTTGCATTCCCACCAACAGTGCAAGAGGGTTCCCGTTTCTCCACATCCTCTCCAGCATCTATAGTCTCCTGATTTGTTCATTTTGGCCTCTCTGACTGGCGTGAGGTGATATCTGAGTGTGGTTTTGATTTGTATTTCCCTGATAAGGAGCGACGTTGAACATCTTTTCATGTGCCTGTTGGCCATCCGGATGTCTTCTTTAGAGAAGTGTCTATTCATGTTTTCTGCCCATTTCTTCACTGGGTTATTTGTTTTTCGGGAGTGGAGTTTGGTGAGCTCTTTATAGATTTTGGATACTAGCCCTTTGTCCGATATGTCATTTGCAAATATCTTTTCCCATTCTGTTGGTTGTCTTTTAGTTTTGTTGGTTGTTTCCTTTGCTGTGCAGAAGCTTTTTATCTTCATAAGGTCCCAGTAATTCATTTTTGCTTTTAATTCCCTTGCCTTTGGGGATGTGTCGAGTAAGAGATTGCTACGGCTGAGGTCAGAGAGGTCTTTTCCTGCTTTCTCCTCTAGGGTTTTGATGGTTTCCTGTCTCACATTCAGGTCCTTAATCCATTTTGAATTTATTTTTGTGAATGGTGTGAGAAAGTGGTCTAGTTTCAACCTTCTGCATGTTGCTGTCCAGTTCTCCCAGCACCATTTGTTAAAGAGACTGTCTTTTTTCCATTGGATGTTCTTTCCTGCTTTGTCAAAGATGAGTTGGCCATACGTTTGTGGGTCTAGTTCTGGGGTTTCTATTCTATTCCATTGGTCTATGTGTCTGTTTTTGTGCCACAAATTAATTTTTTTTTAGAATTATTTATTTTTGATAGAGAGAGACAGAGCACAAGTGGGGGAGGGGCAGAGAGAGAAGGAGACACAAAATCCGAAGCAAGTGCCAGGCTCTGAGCTGTCAGCACAGAGCCCGACGCAGGGCTCGAACTCACAAACGGTGAGATCATGACCTGAGCCGAAGTCGGACACTCAACTGACTGAGCCACCCAGGCGCCCCTATACCAAATTAATAGTTAAATACTAATCCCATTCCCACTCTCTTCCCACTATTTGGAGATGAACACTGATCCTTTATGTGCTGCAAAGAATAAAGACAGTAAAAGAAGTAGTAAGAGTTACTGATTAAAGTTTAGTTGAAAGAGGTTTTTTTTCCTGATTAAAGATTTTTATTATTTATTTTTAAATTTTTTTCGGGACCCAGTCAACACACTCACTGCCAGAAGCCAAGTTCATGCACTTCAAAGGAAGTCCTTTGAAAATGCCTTAGAGTAGGAGTCTAATACTTTAGTGTGCATAAACATCATGTGGAAGCCACGTTAAATGCAGATTCTGATTCAGCAAGTCTGGAGCAGGCTAAGCTTCTGCATTTCTGGTAAGATCCCAAGATGCTGCTATTCTGAATACCATACCTCGAAAAGCAATTCTGAGTCTGGAGCAGGGGTCATCAGAAAGGCACCTGTTTTTGTAAAGTTTTATTGGAACACCCAGCCATGTCCACTTGTTTACATCGTCCATGGCAGAGTTGAGTAGTTGCAACAGAGACCCTAGAGCAGACAATACCTTAGATGATGATGATCTGGCCATTTTACGGAAAAAGTTTGAGTACCCCTGGTCTGCAGTGATGAACGATCACAGAATCCAGAGTCAGAATATCTGCGTTTGCACTCCGTAAACTTTGTGCCTTGAGTTGGTCAGCATCTGAGTCAGTTTCCTTTTTAGGGAGGGGATGATAATAGGACACGAGCATCATAGAGCTGTTGGAAGATTAAGCTGAAAGGCACAGGTAAGGAATTTAACATGCAAATGTAAATGTGCCTAAGCTACCTAAAAGTCTCTGTTCCTAGGCTCCACTTCCAACAGTGTTATTCAGGAGGTGTGGGGTGGAGTCTGGGAATCTGTGTCTGAAACCTCCCCTCCCAGAGGGTTCTGATACAAGTGATAGAGAAGCAGGATCTGGAGGCAAACGTTTAGCAAGTTCTGGGTTTGCCATACGTTCAAGACCACTCCCCCACTGTTCCTCCTTCCCCTCCCCTCTCTCCTCATTATCTTTATCATCCCCGGGTAAGTGAAGCTCTGCCTGGCTGCCCTGCATTCTCTCTGACTCCAGGAGCTCCAAGGCAAACAGCCCTTACACCCAAGTTTGCTTTCCAGCTTGTCCCTATGACTGCAGCTTGACTTTTGCTCCTAACCTATTAATAACTGCTTTATTAATAACTTATTAATAAAATGCCTTTTCGGCAATTATGAGTTCTCCCCCTTACATATCTGTTATCCCTCCCTCTTGACTCCACCTAAAATGGTTCTCTGAAAGTTCAACCTGGCTGTAATCTAGATTCATCTCTTACGTGGGGCTTGACCACCATTCAGTTGGAGCAGCTGGCAAGTTCCACTGGGTAGGGTAAGGAGCTCCTATTATCACTGTCTGAGGACAGTTGGTGGAACAATGGGATAGCTGGTCCACACGTCATCTAAGAAGGTTATTGTGGCCTCTTCCTTTGAAAGTACTTTACCTAGAAGTAGCGGGTTCAAAGTGTTTTATTTATTTTATTTTTTTTCAATATATGAAGTTTATTGTCAAATTGGTTTCCATGCAACACCCAGTGCTCATCCCAAAAGGTGCCCTCCTCAATACCCATCACCCACCCTCCCCTCACTCCCACCCCCGTCAACCCTCAGTTTGTTCTCAGTTTCAAAGTGTTTTAAAAGTCAGTGTTATTCATACCCTACCTTACAATATATATTCATTAATATAACAATGGATTTTATGTAAGTTTTCTCAACTGCACCTTCTACACATGCAAACAAAAACCTCACTGATTTGAATGGATTTTGGTCTTGTTAGAGAAAGCAAGCCTAAAGGGAATTATGCTTATAATTATGGGTTATAAGTTTCAATATCACAATTTCTTCAGAATGTTTTTTTTTTTTTTCAACCTGTCAAGAATTCAGTGGTATCTAGTAATTTTTCATTAGGTACCTGTAATTAGCTGAGAAGTTAACAAAATCAGACACTGAATCTTTGGAGCGGCCTCAAATTACCCTTTACCATCCCACCTTTTATTTACTGGAGGAATAATAGGTATCATTTCTGAAGACACAGTCAGAGTTTTAGAGCTCATTTCTAAGCTAATTGAAAGTCACACTTCGATCTTTTTCACAGTTTAGAATTTCTATTCAAGCTACCTTCGACTTCTGATTAGGCATGTGATTTTTTCCCTTATATACAAACTGTATCAGGTGGAATACCGTACTAACAAAAGTCTGAGATATTTTTCACATGCTTTGTTTTTTCTATATAAGGTAAGAGAAAGAGTTATATTTATCTCATCTTATTTCTAGTCATAGAGATTGTCATTGTTTCCATGTCAGAAATTGAGGCCTTGACTCTACATACAATTTTGACTGAAACTCAATTAGGCAAAAATGGTTACATTTGGTTATAATGTTTTACATCTTATTATTCCTTTTTAGCACAAGATGTGGTCACTGACTTTTCACTTTTAGCAGTATGTTCAACTATAAATTATTCTCCTCCTTTCTTCTCTACCTGTGATCTTGCTCCCACCTCATTTGATAGATGTAGGACATCTATTGAAGCAAAGGCGTAAGAATGAACAGTTAAAAGAATAGAGAAAGTCATGTTAAGGATGATGCGGACGTGAGGAAGAAATTAATTTTGTATTTGCCCATTTTTTTGAAAAGCATAAAATACCCACTATTAATAAAATAGAAAAAATGGGGGCGCCTGGGTGGCTCAGTCGGTTGAGCGTCCGACTTCAGCTCAGGTCACGATCTCACGGTCCGTGAGTTCAAGCCCCACATTGGGCTCTGGGCTGATGGCTCAGAGCCTGGAGACTGCTTCCGATTCTGTGTCTCCTTCTCTCTCTGCCCCTCCCCCATTCATGCTCTGTCTCTCTCTGTCTCAAAAATAAATAAAAATGTTAAAAAAATTTAAAAAAAAAAGAAAAAATGAACATCCTTTCCAAACTAAGAGAAAAACTTGGTATCACAGCAATGCTATCATTTATTGGTTACTTTTTGCCAAGCTGTGTGCTAAACAATTAATTCAGTCATTTTTTTCAATAACTGATAAGACTATTTGGTAAGCCCCTGTCTGTGCACTGTCTTATTACCAAGGGGCTGGGGTTAAAACAAAGTTTCTGCTCCCGTGAGGGAAACCACTCTGATTTTGGAAGAAAGACACTAAGCCTAGAAATAAATATATCATTTGTGAAGTGGAACATAAAAGGGAGTGGAGAGAGAGTCATTTGGATTGGCTCTTCAACAAAGGCTGCTTAATAAGCTGGAGTTTGACCATAGGTCTGAAGGCAATCTGAGGGTGAGCTCTGAGAGTATCTGGAGGGAAGAGTGTTCTGGGCAGAAGAGAGAGGAAATGCGATGTGCTTGGCACATTTGAGGGAGACTATGCTGGCCAGTGTGGCTGTGGTGGAGTGAGCAAGTAGGGGAAGGCTAAGAAAGGAATCACGAAACTGGGTAAGAGGCAGATCATGTAAAGCCCTGAGGTCATAAGGACTCTGGCATACACACTCGAGATGAAAAACCATTGGGTGGTGTTGAGCAAAAGAGGGAGGTGATTTCAAAGGTGTTTCAAAGGTGTTTCAAAGGATAAGTTGATATGTTGAGAAGAAGAACTGGGAGAGCACAAAGGTAAAAATGGGAAAGAATTAGAGAATGTTTGTAAGTAGAGGACGTTTGTCTAGGTTGAGAGTGGTGGAGACTGCCTAGCTATTTACCAGACCCCTTTCTCTTCTCTTCTGTCTCTAGCAACACAGATAGACTTTTACCTCAACTTTGCAGTGAGGTATGGCCATCTCACTGCTTTCTGACTTCTGCGACGTGAGTGAAGCGATGTATGCCACTTCCAGGCCTGGCCTCCAAATCTCCTGGGTGCCACCTGCATGATCTTTCACGTCTGCAGCTTTGATGCCAGTGTCGAAGGTGCCGGGCCACAAGGACAAAAGAGGTTGTTCCCAAGCTCACTGCTGAGATAAATCTGACCATTGATCAAGAGCGTAAAACCAACTTCTTTGGTGTTAAACCGTTGAGATATTCCACAGTAGCATCTACGATTACCTAAACTAAGAAGCGATGGGTCATTTTTCCTTGGACCAGGGCGCTAGAGGTGAAGATGATGAGGAGTGGTCAGATTCTACATCATCAGTAGTGTGACAACATTTTTCAAGGATTTGGATGTGGTAAGATAGTAAGAGAGGAGCCAAGGACCATCTAAATGTTTTTGCCTGGAATATGTGTAGGGAGGAATGGCCATTTATTGAGATGGAAAGATTGGAAGTAGAGGGGTGTCTGGCCAGGTCAGTCGGTGGAGTGTGCCACTTCTGATCTTGGGGTCACGAGTTCAAGCCCCATGTTGGGAGTAGAGATTACTTTAAAAACATACATCGGAGGAGGCATAGTTCTATAGCTTGGAAAACCAAGCGTATGACCTCAGACGTGTTAAGATCGAGATGCCTGATGTTATCTTCATGAGTCTCTTACCGTACAATATTGTTATCTTCATTTTTAGGATGAAGAAATAGAGGCTCTGTGAGGGAACTTATTTGAGCAGGGGAACATGTTGGGACAGGAATTTAAATTCAGCTGTGGAGAGCTCTTAACCACTGCAGCATATTGTCCTTTCCCGGGATGTAACATGTTCCCTCATATATTCCATACGTTTAGCAAACAAAAAAAAAACATCACAGTGAGGGGGTACTCTCTGTGGCAGCTAGCTTAGAGAAGAAAAGGGAAAGGAGGAGAAAAGAAAGAGAAAGAGGAAAGTAAAGTGGTAATAAAAATTACTCTATCTTAGGAAAGCAGAACAGATGGAACTTGGTCCAGTCAGGCTGAACAGTGAGGCTCAGCGCCCTCCAGGCGACACAGAAGTGCCGAGAACATGGCGGATGGGCTAGGTCCTCAAGTTGGAGAAATGAGGCTTTGCGGGGACTTTGTTTCGGGATGTGGCAAACCTGGAATTTAAACGTGAGTTCTGAGTTATCAGCCGGCAAAACTCAGGCACATCTCAACGGATTAGAGTCCAGGAACTCAATCAGATTGGCAACTTCATGGCAGAAGCTGGAGAGACCTTCTGACAAGTCTGTGGATCTGAGACCCCCACCCCCACCCCCCATGAAGCCTATCAAGCCATGAGCTGTCACTCCCTCAGACACAGGTGACATCTTGAAGATGACCAAGGAGAAAGAAAGAAAAATCTAAAAGACTGAGAAACTACCTGAAATGTAGTGAGTCATTCAAAAGAGACTATTTAAATGGAAACATATTGGGACCCCATTATTTGGTCCATTTAAAACCTGCCTCCTCATCTCCTGGTGGGATTAGGGTTCATGAGGAAGATTTGATCATTTATATAAAAAGCAGAGAATTTGTTTCTCTTTGCTCACTTGATTCTCTAGGCATGGTAAATTTATGGCCCACTCCACCCCTGAATTTGTATTCAAATGTTGCTCTAAGTCTATACAGATAACCGTGTAAACAGACATGATTTTCTGCTCTACTCTATGGTCCAAGGAAATTTGAATTATTTTATTTTATTTTTTTACCGGGTTTTTGGGTTTTGTTGTTACTTGGTTTTACTTTATTTTAATTTGAAGGCGTCAGGGAATTAAGGAACGCTTAGGTAAACTCAGAGAGGGTTTTGAGCTAACTATGATAAGCTAGTGAAATCAAGGAATTCAAACCCTCTTGTGAAAAAAATGTACAAAGGAAAGAACACGAATCATTGTGTACTTGATACCTTCTCTCTCTGCTCTCTCATCCCTATTTTTGCTAAGACTCTTCTCTTTCTGGATTTTTTTGTTTTTGCTCCTGGAGCTCTGCCATGGACTCTCAGTTTCCTGTTTGCTATTGGACCTTATTTTTTTGGATCTGCCATCAGTCATTGGGTAGGGCTTCAACGTTCACCCCCTCCTATTCTCAGGGGAGAAAGAGCCTGAGACTGTGTTTTAGGTCCTCCGGAAGAACAGAGGGAGAAGTCGCGCATACTGTTAGCCTCAAAACTTCTAGAACTGGTCTGCAGGGGAGGTGAGGCCTTTTTGGAATCAGCTCCTATGGAGAACAGCTTTAAAATTCCATGATGGTAGTGGCTACAGCCTGGGAGTTCCATCATCACAGAAGTAGCAGCAACAACGATGATAAAATTGGCAAGAGACAAGCAGCAAGTAGATAAAGGAAAACTGACCGAAGTGTTAAGAATTAGCTGCCAAAGTAAAATTAAAATGAACAACCTATCCCCTAAGCAGAAAAACAGACAGGAAGATTTTTACATAAGGAAAATAAAAGGCAATCTATCTCATCTGACTTCATGCAAAGTCCAGAAGGAGAAACATTTTTGTATTAAAAAAATTCAGTTGTGGTACTATTCACATTTGGCACTGACTATATATATATATATATATATATATATATATATATACATATATATTTATATACATTTATATATATACATATATACATTTATATATATATACATATATGTGTATATATATAATACACATTTCAACCATACACAAAGTTAGTAAAGTGCCTATTATTTAAAAAGAAGAAGTAACCTCCAACTTAGAAATTTCAATATGCCTCGGACTCCTGAGTTTTCTAAAATTTGCAAAGAATCCACTTATATGATATTTGCAAGAGACAAATGTTTTGTGGTTGTTACTTTTAATGTTAGAAGTCTAACTTCCTTTCTAGTTCTTACCTTCCAGTTTAAAAAATTGAGATATAATCAATATATAACACCTTATTAGTTTCAAGTATAGAACATAATGAGTCGACACTTGTATATATAGAAAATAAGCACAACTATAAGTCTGATCGACGTCCATTGCCATACATAGTTATATTTGTGTGTGTGTGTGGTGAGAGCTTTTAAGATCTACTCTCTTAGCAACTTTCAAATACGTAACAACTTTCTTATTAACTATATAGTAACCATACCGTATATTATATCCCCAGGATTTATTTATTTTATAACTGGAGATTGGTACATTTTGACCATCTTCTTCACCCATTTTCCCCACCTTCCACCCCTGCCTCTGGCAACCACCACAACTTTTTCCCCTTTCTCTGTATAGCAGAAAGAAAGGACCCAGGTAGCAGCGACTATCTATCGCTGGAGCTAATGCAGGGTCAGTCCTGTTCACTCTACGGCTGCTCAGTGTGGATCCTCCTATAACATATGGGGGCAATTAGCCAGGTCATCCTGGAATTCTAGAAGAATTCTATTCCTTTCCTCCTCACCCTTCTTGAAGAACTAAAATTTTAGCCAGGTCCTGAGAATCCATGTCTCAGCTGTGTTGACTCTATTGCACTATATTTTGGGGGTATGGAGCGATTCTACACCTTCCCCTGTTTAAATAAACTCACCATCTTGTCTCCTTTAACTGGGCAGATTACAACAACATATGATATTTGCTGACAATTGATTGCCTGCTAAGTGCTTTAGGTGGGGTTGTCCGATTTGCTCCTCACATTAACCCTATGAAGCAGATGTTATTATTAGCTCCATTTTATTGAGGAGGGAAATTGAGACACGGATGGTGGAACTGGGTAGGCTGACTCAAGAGCCCAAGATCCTAGACATGATATTGCGGTGCCTCCTGTACCTCAAAGCACTTGGCTTTCCTCTTAATGAAATGTCAGTGATAGCCAATAAATGACTGGTCTACCTACTTTAAATAGTTTGTTTCTGACTTGTTATTATTTCTTGTTGGAGGGCAATTCTAAGCTTTAACAAATGGAACACATTTGTTCTTCCTGGTAATGTTTCAAGCACAGTCCTGTATAGTACATGATATACTGAGAGGCTTCTAAAAGATTGTGTTTTTGTTCTTTAAGTCATCATTTTTTTTAACAATTTTATTGAGATAGCTTTTATATATAGTGTCTTGAAGTCTTTTTTAAAAAATTTTTTATGTTTATTTTTGAGAGAGAGAGATAGAGTGAGAGCAGGGGAGGGGCAGAGAGAGAGAGAGAGAGAGAGGGAGACACAGATCTGAAGCGGGCTCCAGACTCCAAGCTTCAGCACAGAGCCCGACGCGGGGCTTGAACTCACGAACGGTAAGATCATGACCTGAGCTGAAGTCGGACGCTTAACTGACTGAGCCACCCAGGTGCCCCTAGTGTCTTGAAGTCTTAACTAAATATTAGCATTAATTTGAATCTAGAAAAAAACCTGTTTACAAACATTCATAAAGCTTGAATATAATTCCTCGCAAAAATGAATAATTAATTGACAGCCTTCTTTCAATACGGAAGAAGTTGGTTGTCTTTGGAGCATTTGTTTTCATTCATTTGCTCTTGTACATGTCAAGTTGCTCCAGCTCTGGTTTTGTAAAAATATTCCTAATTCCTTAGCCTTGATGGTAAAAATATAGACCATTAACTCATCAAATAGTTTTTGAATGACTACTCAGTGCTGATTGGTCTCTCATTGGGAGACAATGATGACTAAGCACAGACTTGTACTCGAATTTATGAGACAAGTCAGGGACTAGGGCAGACAAATAATGAAAGTACAATGTGTAAAGTGCCATAACAGAGCTATATACAAAGCTCTAAAGCACTAGGGTAGCATGAAGGAGACAGGAAAGGGAAGGACATAATCTACTCAAGGGTTGAAGAACCAAAAGAAGATTCAGAGAAGAGGCGCTTTCTCTTAAAGGTAGAAACTGTTCCTTAATTGAATGACAGTCAAGTACAGATCAGAAGGAGGCAGGTGGTGGTGGATATCTGATCAAGGGGGAATATTCGAGGACCAGGGTGAAAAGACACGAAAACCACAGCACTTGATGCATTCGGGGAATCACACATATCCAGGTAGATTGGAATGTCACATTTGAAGTAGGGGGTAGGAAAGAAGAAATTGGAAAGGAAAAGATGGGTCAGCAGGTGCTTACCAGGGTTGCCAAGTGATGTGCCAAGACCGGGCATTGTGAGATGAGGGATTGAGGAGAACAAAACAGGCTTAGACAGGGGCGCCTGGGTGCCTCAGTCAGTTAAGTGTCTGGCTCTTGATTTCAGCTCAGGTCATGATCTCATGGTTAGTGGGTTTGAGTCCCGCACTGGGCTCTGTGCTGCCAGCACAGAGCCTGCTTGGGATTCTCTATCTTCCTCTTTCTCTGCTCCTCCCCTGCTCATAGTCTGTCTCTCTCAAAATAAATAAATAAACATTACAAAAACAAAAAGGGCTTAGACACAGCAGTAGGCAACAAGGGTGCATTTTACTTTTCCATTTTGATGGTGTCTATGTAACTGAGTTTGTTTACAATAGAAT